TTTTCTTTATGAAATCACTTAGAAATCCACGACGATCAAATCACTATAACACGTCGTTAGTTTTAAAGGAAGGTATTTATTATGCGAGTGTTTTCTTTAAAGAATGATTTTTTTGAAATGTTTAAGATCTCTCTGCGGTTGAGAAAAGTGTTAGAAATAGATTAATTTTCATTTTACAAGCAAGTGTAAGAGTTGTGGGGAAAATCTTACTATTGTGCTATTTTTACAACGTTATGGACATTCATAGAAAAATACTTATGAGCTTATATCTGTTGATTGCCGTCTCAGGAACTAATAATATTTAATTCTTGAAAAGACAACATATTCTTGACCGCTTAACACGTATACATTATTACACACAAACCTAAAGGAAATCTGAATTTGTAAGGAAGAGTTTGGAACCTTGGACAACACGTATACACAATTGCAGACCATAACCAGGAAGACTCAGGATTGCATGCAAGGAAGAGTTTAAACCTTTCTCAAAACAGCCAAGATCTGAGATAAGTACGAGTCTCTCTCTCTCTCTCTCTCTCTCTCTCTGACGAGTAAAAAATTAAACTTACTCATAAACAATATCTAATTTAAATTACTCAGTATTTTGCATTCACTTTAACCGTACAGTTATTTATCAGTTATTCTCTCACGACTCTTGAAAAGCAGTTTACCGGTATACATATTTATTGAGTAATTGTTGTTTTTGGTCTTAGACTTCACAACAAAAAATCTTGCGGTAACCTTTTACTAGGACTTATTGCATGTTGACAGCAATTTAAGACAAGATTAATTCATTAAACTATAGTATTTACTTTAAATTTCTTTATTTTATATTTTCAATCAGCAGTGTTAAAATTGAAAAATGACTATAAAAGCATGAGAAAAATTTTATCACAGATAAATAAATCTTTGTATGAACCTTAACTATCTAAATTCTGACAATGATATCTCCTAAAGTAAATGAATACCTCAATAAATAATATCCTTTTTGAACCAACAGAAACATTCTTATATTGCAAGGTATTTTTTTGCATAATCTTGAAATCTCTAAGAACCCCCACCTAAAACCTTGATTGAAAAAAGTTCATGGTGAAATATGTTCAGTAAGCACTGTGTCCGACAAGCCTCTTATTAAATTGCGTTTATCAATACTGAAAATATCGAGTCTCGCTTAAAAAAAAAGATCAATTGAAGATAATTTTAAAAACGCATATCCAGTACAAACGGCTGTGGTTGGTGAATTCAACACCCAAAAAATCGCGCTTTAAACTGTTTGCAACAATGAAATGAAGAAATTTGACTGAAACGAGCTTTCGTGACAAGTGTTTATCTCTAGAAATATTCTGAATTTTTTGTTGTCCTTGTTTTTGTGGAAAAAAATATGCTTTTGAAATTGATTTCAACTAATCTCAAATGGACTTGAACAAAACAATGCGATTACAATCTAAACAAGGATATAAAAAGCCTCATGTATCTGGCCAAAGACTGAAATCCTGTTCAAATTCATCATTCATTTCAGCGAAAGGTAATGAGTCTCTCTCTCTCTCTCTCTCTCTCTCTCACTCTCTCTCTCTTTCTCTCTCTCTCTCTCTGGCAATTTGTAATTATGTTCCCCAAAGGACGTATCTTATTCCAGTATGTCCCGTTGTATAATTAGGCTGGCTTTATGTACCCTGATTACAGTATGGCCCGTTGTATTGTTACGCTGGCTTTACGTACCCTGATTACAGTATGTCCCGTTGTATTGTTAGGCTGGCTTTACGTGCCCTGATTACAGTATGTCCCACTGTATCGTTAGGCTGACTTTGCGTACCCTGATTACAGTATGTCCTGTTGTAGCTTTACTAACCTTGATTACAGTATGTCCCATTGTATAGTTAGGCTGGCTTTACGTACCCTGATTACAGTATGTCCCGTTGTTTTGTTACCCTTATTACAGTATGTCCCGTTGTATTGTTAGGCTGGCTTTACGTACCCTGATTACAGTATGTCCCGTTGTATTGTGAGGCTGACTTTACGTACCCTGATTACAGTATGTCCTGTTATATTGTTACCATGATTACAGTATGTCCCGTTGTATAGTTAGGCTGGCTTTATGTACACTGATTACTATATGACCCGTTGTATAGGTAGGCTGGCTTTATGACCCTGATTACAGTATTTCCCGCTGTATTGCCAGGTGGGCTTTATGTACCCTGATTACAGTATGTTCCATTGTATAGATAGGCTGGCTTTACGTACTGTGATTACAGTATGTTCTGTTGTATTTTTAGGCTGACTTTACGTACCCTGATTACAGTATGTCCCGTTGTATTGTCACCGATTACAGTATGTCCCAGGGTTCTCCACAAGGGGTCTTACAATAGCGCCCCTCCATGGTTAAATTAATGTGGGCCATTGTTAAATAAGCTGCGCCATGGTTAAAATCTGCAGCCGTCATGATTAAATTTTACAGCATTTCATTTGTGACAAAATAATTTTTTAATGACTTGAGTAGTTAATTGTGTTTATACTACGACTCCCATGCACCTTGCATGCATCGAAGGAAAGCGGACTGTGCTAAACAAACAACACGTCGTTAATCCGCGACTATGCTGTGAAGCGTGACAATCAATGGAGAGTCAATCAGCTGATCAGATGATCTATATTTTAAGAGTTTATAATCCTGTACACATGTAAATAATTTTGGGGAACTTAACATGTTCACTACATGATTAGATATATAACAGGTTTATAAAAGATGACAATTACGACATGATAAACGTCATGATACTCTGTAAAAAATTCATGTTCCTTTGTAGTTAATCAATTTCCCATGCTCTGTTTTTTAAGCTTTAACTTTATTATCTTTTTGATAAAATGTGCATAGGGCCTACGTCTCAATCGCCATCTTAGCACGCTTAGTCGTAGTTTTAGAGTTACTTCCCGTTGTTATGAAACGTCGCTTGGCGCTATTTTTAGCACTGGGCACGAGGAGAAGTAAACAAATCTTGGTGAAAAATGGAAAAATAAAACGTTTAGAAAAAAGAGACACTGGTCGAAATGTTCCTTAGTGTTTTAACTTAAAAAATATAACCCATTCATCAGTTTTAGTTATAGTGAAACAAAACATACAACAAAACAATACAACAGGCTACAATTCTTATAACTATTAATTTCTGAAAAATATTGCCATGGTTACTGACTTATTGTATCACAATTTTTCTTTTAAATTCCTTCAGAAAGTTACTACAGTTTTGGGCAAATTTTAGTACATTTGTGAAGTAAGATACAGGATAAATCCTTTTCAATTTAATTATTATTTTTTTAACTTTAAAAAGTGTTAGTTATTCCATTGTTTTGTGTTGCAGTGATTAAGTTTAAAAATTGTAAATTAAACCAATCATTGATTAATGAAGATTAGGAAGTCTATGTTTTAGGTCACATTTTGAGTTGGGGAGCGTTTGGGGAATATCTGTAACGGTTCCCGTTACAATTAGAACTAGTTGATATTAAATTAAAAAATATTCTTCATTTAATGATTGTTGATGTGTATACACATTATAGTATTTTATCTGCTCGGGTAATATCCCATTTAATTCACATGCGTTCTATTTTCTTTTAAAACATAATCATTCCATAAAATCAAATGTTTATTCAAGTTGGAATAATGCTATAATGGACAGCTCACCATTTGTACATTTTATGTACCTTTTCGAAAGACTGTCATGCAAATTAAATAGTAAAGCTTCATTTTCATTGTAAGAGAATTTAATAATAAACATATCCTGCCAAACCGTCACATCCGCCTTGTACTCCTTGTCAAGATCAGAAAAATGAAAAAAAAATTTAATGATACATTGAATTTGCTGACAAGGTCTTTGTATCGACCATAGAGCTTGTGAAATGATACATGTTACTTCAAACGGGACTATTGTTTCATCGTCATATTTTTAGAAGCTTGCCTTGCTTTAGATATTGTTCGTTGACTGCGTATCACATAAAAATAGAGATTGTGATTTCAAATTTCGAACAGTTTCTTGGAAACCTTAGTTTCCGCATCTGATTTACATAACTTCTCCAGGCACGAAGCAAGGGGGGGGGGGGGGGCAGGGGGGCCTGACGCCCCACTTTTTTCTCCAACATTACTTTTACTATTAAAAATGTTCACTGAAATACAGGTTGGCCCTCTAGTTAATACTACGGTAAAGTAATATAAAGGAAATGCAACATTGTATCCAAAAAAGTGGTACTGAAAGAAGTAGGCATCTGAGAAAAGTTACCCCCCGTCTGCCCCCCCCCCCTGCTTTCAATCAAAGTACTCAGAAGTACAGACAGCCGGGCTCATTTACAGAGTAGAATGGATTTCTTACATGAATCACGTTTATATTCTGATGAAAAAAATATTTTAAAACTATCAATATGAATGATAAGACACGGACAGAGAGTTTTTCAATTCTAATACCACGGTCCGATTTTGTCAGAATCAGAACTAATCTGGTACCGCAGCTGAATGTAAACAAACAGGCCAGTCTGGTTCCCTCTCCTGCTTTACCTCGTATGTGTAGAAAACTACGGTAACACTGATTATCAAAAATTCTTACGCTAATGAACTATGTTCTTTTACTTATGAAGTTTTCAAAGTTATTACTACTAATTATGTTTATTTTATATAGATAAATCTTCGTTTTATTTTTGTGTCTTTATTTAGCGTTTGTATTATCTCAAAAGCGGTTGAGAGTAAGAACTATATTTTTGCACGTTACTTTAAAATGGCGACTATGGGGTCAACATCCTGCCTTGAACAGGATCACATAAGCCGGCAATTGCTCTTTGAGCAATAAGCCCGGCTAAAAACGAAGCTACGTGCCTGTTCTCGAATAAAAGTTCTCCTTAGTAGCTGTAAATATATGGTAAGAAGTAAAGAAAGATATTTGGTAAAAAAAAAAAAAATACTGAAACACGCTATGTATTTTACGTAGGGGCTATGGATATAAGCATGATTACGGCTTGCAGAATTAAATTCCGGTTACTGTGTCTGACACATCAGCCGGTTGCTGGTTTAATCATTATAAAACAATCTTAATATTTTATTGAAATCTATTGAGATTATGTTTCAATTTTCACCATATAACATATGTCATATTGATTTTAAGGGGTATTATGCACCTAATAATCTAATTTTAAAATTTAAAAAATACTTATTACTTTTTGCCTACCTGTAAAAAAGGGGTAACTCCCCTCCACCCCTTCCCCCGAGGATGTAAAGTTTAAAGGAGTATATAAAACGTTTAAAAGAAATCAGATTCATCGTGAGAATGGTAAATCTACATATACCCGTACATACGATGCAAAATTTCATGAATGAAGCATATGGAAATAACAAACAGTATTCAAGATCAAAAGTCCATAAAACAATACAAAATAGGAGCAAAGCAAACACGGACCTCCAACAATCAGAGTTTGGAAGTAGATGAACAGGTCTAACTTTAGAATTGAAATCCTCTTAGGTTCATATAGTATACTAAGATATATTTTATGATAACATATAAATGATCTAATTTTCACTCACATTAATTAAGACACCATTATGTACCGGATTTAGACTACAAATTAGATGTACATTCCTGTGTAATACTCAAAACTGAATGGATAAAAGAAGAAAAACATTAAACGACACCAATCTCATTCCCCTGCTCTGAATGTTTTTTTGTTTTCAAAAATATACAAAACTGGTATCAGATAGTTATAATTGATATTTTCAGGAGAAGGATATGGAGATAACGAACAGTATTCAATATCAAAGTCCACAAAACAATACAAAACCGGAGCAGAGCAAACACGGAACTCCGAAACATGGAGGAGTGAGCATCCCCTGCTGACCGTTCACACCTGTCTTGTGCTCCTTGTCATGATCGGGAAATAACGGAAATATCACTCGTCAATTCAGTGTATTAATAATGGACTAACAATAAGTATGAAAAACGTCAGTCAGTATTTGTCTCAATGATAAATTGTATTTGCTGTCAACTTGCTTGTCAATAATTCACCTCGATTTAGAAATTGTTCATACGTAGAGCATGCTCTTGCGTATCGAATCTACTGAGATATATACACTCCGTATGCAGCTGATGAAGGTACATGTATATTGCTGCATAAGCAAGGGAAGTTGACGATAGAAAAGTTAAAGTCATCATGTTTATCATATAATTTGGTTGTTAGATTACTATTAACGTCCTTTTCAAGTAAAGTATCCAAGTATGAAACAGATGTGTCAGACTATGTGGTATCCTCAGGTAACACATACAAAGACAAGTTCATTGTTAACAGAATGATCAGTTACAGGTAAACTAGGGATGCACTTCAATTTTCTGAATAACAATTGCATTTCCAGATGTAAATAACGACCGGTCTTTGTCTTGTAAAGCAAGATATGTGGTTGGACAAGTTTGACTTTCAAGAGAGACTCAGATACCATAATTTGTTTCAATTAAATCAGAATGAAATGTGGAATGTAATTTTTTTTTTAAATGTGAGCCTGTGAAG